TTCTATTCAGATTGGCGTTGAGCGTAGATCGTTCATCTTTCCGTCCCCTAGACAACAACTCTCTGCACTACTCGCAACCGTGCTCCGCCGTATCTCGATACACTCCTCCGCTGGTGGCGTTCGCTGCGGGTCAGCGTCTTTTATCGCTAGGCACTTCTAGCAGCATGTGAGAGCGGGTCACGCGTCTTATGTGACTCTTTTACTCGGCCTCGTGTTGTTTCCGGTCCTGTGTTTCTCATCAGCATTTTCTCTCCTACCCGATCTCGTTCGTTCCAGGTTTGTGTCGTCAGCTTCTACGCCTCGTGGAGCAGGTTCGAGTTGTGCGTCGCCGCGGCAGAGTGTGACGACTTTCCCCTCGTCGATTACGTCAAGCGTGACCACACCTGCTGCTTCCCACCAAAAGCTGCCGCGTGGGGCCTCGAACATGTACAGGTGGAAGAAGAATTCGTCCGGACGTGCTCTCGGCATGGCAATGAGCGACCATATCAGGGCACAATCCGCGCTCACCGTGCAAAGGCGCCAAAACCTGTTGGGTGTTGTCCAGCAATGATGTGGGGGCAGGTCTGCAAAGGCGGGCGAGTGCGGGTGGTGATGTTCAACTACCACTCACATTCGAAGGACCTGCGTCACCTACAGCTGCCAGGCGTGTTTCGTGCAGAAGTGGCACGTCTCCTTCGTGTCTCGGCGTCTTACACGGCCATTTATCACCAGGTGAAGGCGACCTTTTCCTCGCATCCACGTATCAGGTTAGATCGATGCGGTGTCTGTGTGTGTGTGTGAGTGCGCGCGTGAGTGGGTGAGTGAGTGAACGAGTGTGCGTGTGTGTTTTTGTGTGTGTGTGTGTGTGTGTGTGTGTTCTCTGCCTTGCGTGTGCTTGTGTGTTTTGCGCGTTGTGTGCGTCAGTGTGTGTTTTGTGTGTGTGTGTGTGTGTTCTCTGCCTTGCGTGTGCTTGTGTGTCAGTGCACGTTCTGACTGTCTTTGTCGTGCTTGCGTGACTAGCATTTTCAAGCAAGCGCATGTCTACAACGTTGCTCAGGAGTACGAGCCTGGGCGCTTTGATGCGGATGACGCCGCTTCTGTGTGGTACGCTGCACAAATCTACAACAAGGACAGCGCGCCTCAGGCGATTTCCCGCAAGAGTCACTATTCATCCTTGTGCAGACTGAGTGGCAGCGACGCGTGCTCAAGGTGTGTGGTGCTGAGTGCCGTGCTCGCGTCTTGAATCCTTGCATGCATGGTCAATGATGTGCACCGCCTTGCAACACATGGGGCACTCTGTTGTCTCGTGTCGTGTTGGCGTGTCAATACTGCAGTGTGTCGCCAGCCTTGTGCACGTGGCTAATGGTAAGCGTCTCGTCATCACTTCCCATGCATGCTTGTTCTGTGTTTCCTTGGGAGTGTGGGCATCGTGGCATTTTTCTTGACTCAACACATGGCACAAACATGTACGACCACCCGTTGATTAGCGTGGTGGTCGAAAGCGTCTATGGATGGGGAATACCTGTGGCGCACGCCATTGTGAGTCACGAGACGATCGGCGTCGTCGCACACTTTCTACGGAAAGCGGTTGCAGACCACGGTATCACTCCATCGGCCGTGATCACGGATAAGACGTTTGCCGAAGGTCGCGCCGTGGATGAGGCACTTCCCAACTCTCGCTGGCTTCTTTGCCAGTTTCACGTGAAGCAAGCTTGGTGAGAGGTCGTGTACCGCTTGCGCGACGCCGTGTGTGTGTGTGTGTGTGTGTGTGTGTGTGTGTGTGTGGCTCCGTGTATGTGTGTGTGTGTGTGTGTGTGTGGCTCTGTGTGTGTGTGTGTGTGTGTGGCTCCGTGTATGTGTGTGTGTGT